TCTTTGTGAATTGATTTTAGGGGATGTTACACCCCTGCCCCACTTCACTCCCTCCACCTATGCTGATATAAAATCAGATTTTGATGGGGTTTTTTTGTGCTTGTAGGACCCGCCAAATCCAATATGTCTGTGGATTCGGGTGAGTGCCTGTGGCAGTGATAACGTTAACACTTACCGTCATGGAAGATTGCGCCAACCTGGAAAGAGAGTTCAGAATCGTGTTCAGCCTCACAGGGGTACACAGCCTTTGCTTTCATGAGGGTGACACTGAAAAATGGAGGCAATCAGTTAGTGGGCCTCTCGCTATTCGGAAGGGTGGGGATTAGGACACGACTTTCCATCTAGCTGTACAGTGGACTCAGCTGAAGTTATCAATGGAAGCAGTCTGCGTAATTAGCGCCTGTCCGTAAAAATTCCAGAGTAGAGTGTTAAAGTAGAAGAGAAAGAAGTTAGCCATCAAAGAGTAGATATGATTTTAAAAAAGAGAGAAATTTTCAAGTAAGCTTCGACATCATCCAGGCGCATCCTGCCATTTATTACTCAAAGTTCCTCTGGAGTGGATTTGGTGTACGTTTGCAAAGCACAAAACCGTTTCCACACTTTTTGACCAATTAATTTCAATGGCTTTTTCCATGACTTATCCACACATTTATACTTACTGCATACATATTTGAATAATCTTACAAAATACAGATTGTATTGTACTAACAAAGCACAATTTCAAGTCAATTACATACTTTCCAATGACTTTAAGATTTTATAAATTTTCATGATTTTGATGAATTTTTAAAGATTTGTATTAATTTCCATGACTAGAAGTCAGTGTACCATCAGAATGATTTTAAAACTGATATTTCAAGGTAAATAATAATAATAATAATAATAAATAGAACTTACATATAGTTGTCTTAAATATTTTAATTTGTGACTTCAAAAATGTATTAAAGTTAGATCAGAATGATTTTAAAACTGATATTTCAGGGTAAATACTACTACTACTACTTATACTACTACTACTAATAATAATAAATACAATTTACATAAAGTTGCCTTCAAGATTTTCATTTGTGACTTTAAAATTTATTAAAAAGTCATTGTAATTAATGAAACCTTTAAAATGAATTGGAAATCAAAGGAATCAATAAAATCCTTGAAATTCACATTAATTGTTATTACCTTTTAAAGATTTTATTAATTCCCATGACCAATTATTTTAAATCAATAATTCTGTGACGTCAAAATTAATCATATTAATTCACAATTAATAAAATCTTTCATCTTTAATCGTTGATTTCAATGACTTCTCAAAGATTTCATTAATTTGCATGATTTTAACAGAACCAGTGTGTGGATACTGAGGATATAGCAACAATGTACTCTAGACTCTCTTCACTAATACTTAACACCATTAACACCTGACAGTCTGCTGAATGTTTTATATATTGCCTCATATCAATGTCTCCTAAAGATAATACACGACCCAGGCAGACACCCAGAAAGTTACTGCAGGAGTTCTAACGAAAATGTGCTCTTTACAACTGCAACATAAGAAAGACGTCATTCCCGAAGGTCAGTCATTTTTTTGCCAACAGCTTTTTAACAGATTGAAAGACTTTAAATTGAATGAGTCTGATCACCTGCCACTGGGCATCACTCATTTTATAGAATGGAAAGTTAATGCATCTTTGTGTCTGGATCAGAACTATAGATGATTGCAATGGCCCCTGCCTGGAAAGTGTGAGACTGAGAGGAAGTGTGTGTGTGTGTGTGTGTGTGTGTGTGTATACAGGTGTATGTAGAGTCGGAAATAGAGGTGAGAAAGTAGAGATCACAGAGAGAGAGAGAGAGAGAGAGAGAGCAGAGTTGCGTCGGCGTGTAGGAGGGAAGAAAAAGTTGGTGAGTGTGTGAGTCGGAGGCTAAACAATGACAGATGAAGACTTTTGCAAGTGAGTGAATGCATGTGTGATTGAGTTAATAGCCTGAGGCTGAGAGCTTAAGTGAGACTTTGAGTGCGAAGAATCAATGAAACGGTGAGAGAGTGTTTGCGGAAAAGATTGAGCCAAAACCGGCCAAACTCACTTAAACTAACAGATTGGAACAAATTCATTACATGCTAAAGGTGGTGTGCATAAGTGTATAATACATGTTCTTCAGGGACAAGAGTGTTTACATCTTACCTTTCCTCAGGTTTATTCTTCTCAGTTCCTACAGATCCAGGTTTCACCGGTGTAACTGAGGCAGGGGAGGCAGAATTCATCCATGAAGCTGTGGCAGTACATATCCTGCGGAACAAAAAATTGCCACAAAGTATTTATACTGTACCATCCTCATAAAGTAAAAGACGGTAATTCTAGAAACACTGTCAGTAAGTGGGAAAAAAAATTGCAGCTCAGGTAGTGACCCAGGTTTGGACTGATACATTTTGTTGCATTCCACAAATCGCATAATTTTAAGCTTCAATGCTACTTTTTTACCATCAAACACATAAATACACAACAAACAGCTGAGAGTCAGAGACGACAAAGAATAGTTAAAAGACACACACAATCTGCAGCATTCCTGACACACAAACCCCTTCATCATTATTCCTCTTAGAGAGGCTGCGCTGCTCAGACAGTCTCACAACCTCAGATAGGGAGAGAGAAGTGAAGGTTATGAGGAAAACTGCCCAAAGTCCCTAAGAATCTGAAGCATTTAGAAAATGCAAATAATGCAAATGAGCACTTTAGATCAGAAATAGCCGAAAACAGGATCAGGCAATGCAGGAGATGAATTGCGGAAGTCAACATTAAATGATAATACTGCCACTCATAAAAATTAATCATGCCATAAACTAGTATTTGCATCAATTTATTAAAATAATATTTTCAAAACATATTTATTCATATTCCTTAGAATCAGTCTAAATCAGTTATTTCAGTAATTTAATCTTAATTAAAATGTTTGAAACTGGTTAAAATACGGCTAACTGTGGAACAATCAAGATTCAATGAATTAAAATGTATTCGATTTGTTTACTTATAATAAACCGGATTTATTCATGATAAATATATAAACCTGTTTAGTGTATATTTAAAACGCGTTTGCTTTATAAGTAAATCTCATTCTTAAAACTGTGTAATCCAAATGGATGGATATTTTATATTTTATATATGCAATTAAAATACATAAGTCTTGAATGTACTGTTACAATTCAAAAGAACTCTGTTCTATTTTATTTTATTTTTAAAGTTTTATTTATTCCTGTGATGGCAAAGCATTTTTCATGATTCTTCATGATTGTTCTTGTTCAACTTAATTATATTATAATAAACCGGATTTATTCATGATAAATATATAAACCTGTTTAGTGTATATTTAAAACGCATTTGCTTTATAAGTAAATCTCATTCTTAAAACTGTGTAATCCAAATGGATGGATATTTTATATTTTATATATGCAATTAAAATACATAAGTCTTGAATGTACTGTTACAATTCAAAAGAACTCTGTTCTATTTTATTTTATTTTTAAAGTTTTATTTATTCCTGTGATGGCAAAGCATTTTTCATGATTCTTCATGATTGTTCTTGTTCAAAAGAACAACATTTATTTATATAAAATTTCTGCAACATTATAAACATCTTTACTGTCACTTTTGAAAAATGTAATGTGTCCTTGCATTAGATATATAAATGTTCAATAGCATTCAGTAACATGTCCAGAAAACTGTGCATAACAGTTCAAACAAAGCCATACTCTTAATTAGATTTGGAAACTCAAGAGAATGAAGACTCAAGAGAAATGTGTGTGTGCTGAAGGTGAGGGGAGTGAAGGACTTACAGGAGCAGGGATAGTGGCAGCACAGGGGCAAACGAGGAGAAGTATAGTCCAGCAGAAAGAGAGAGAAAGAGATATACAGTGTATATATATATTTATAGTATGTATAGAAAGAGAGAGAGAGAGAGAGAGAGATGCAGTGATTTATGACTCTGCAGTGGGTCAGTGAGTCCTCAGCTGCTGCACATCAGCATGAGACTCCAGCAGCGCTGCAGTGCAGCAAATCCACTCATTAACCTCACACCAGCCACACACACACCTCACACCAGCCGTGTGAGTCCCAGCTAATACACCACACACGCTGTTCCATACACAACGTTCACGCTCACACAAATTTCAAATCAAGGTTATGCCAATGGTGTTACATCAAACATCAGATGTCACCAGGGTAACGAGTCACTCCAGAAAAAAAAAGTGTTTACACATTCTTATCTGAATCGTCAAACTCTAGAGAAAAGCTAAATGAAGTGGGGAAAAAATATAAATTCATAAGGTTGCCCTGGCAACCGGCAGAACCACAGGAAAATGGTTTCACCTCCCAAAAATGCTTTTACAATTACAACTAAGCCAAACCAAGAAAATTGTATTCACTTTGAACTATTAAAAATAGAACTAGGCACAGAATTGCATATTACGACTTTTAAAAGAGGCACAAAACGATTTTAAACTAAAGAAAGAAAAAAAAACATTGAACAACTGTGTTTAACAAATCAATGCAGCTCTTTTAAGTTTTGCTTACTGATAAACAGTCTGTAAATACAGTAAGTACATGCAACATTGGATATACTGTATAGTGACATGCTGCATGATGTAGCCTATGGAAATGCAGTTATATTCCCGAAAATTCAAGTTATGTGGGCAAAAATGCCCTTGTTTGAGTTTTTGTCTTATATTTGTATCATATGACATAGTTTAGCAATATCACAGGATCAAGAGTGCTGTTTTTCTGAATAGCTGCTGTTTTGTTACTAATCGAGTGAGCCAATGCTTCAGTGACCCAGTCACTTGCTTCAGACATTTGAATGAACTGATTGAATGAATGACTGAATGACTCAATTATTGATATAGTGACTTGCAGCCACCTATGGCACTTAGTTTTATATTTAGAGTATCAATTATTTTTTTCTTCATATCATAAATATTTCAATATTCATAAAAATTATATTTATGCAATGTTGAGTCAAAAATATTTATTTCTAAAGCTACCTTTAAAAAAAAAAAAAAAAGTCTATTTAATGCTTTTCTCATTCAAAACAATAACGACTTTGATCTTTTGAGGGGTAATTTCTAAGCCAAAATTTACGTGTGATTAATTAATAAGTAAATAATTACATAAATATTTTGAATTGTTTAACAGCCCTAATTATAATATTATAAATAATTATAATATTATATGAATACATTTTAAGTGCTGTAATTGGTCACCATTTGAAAGTTTGAAAGAAACAAATTTTCAACACTGATCTATATATTGCAATTAATTAATATTATGATTAATATATGTATTTAATAATAATAATAATAATAATAATAATAATAATATATTATAAATTACATAGTTTTACATATATACCTATATATTAATCAGAATAATTACATAAAAATTGTGGGGGAAAAACAATTATATATATTTTTTTTTGTTTGTTTGTTTTGTTTTTTGTTTTTGTTTCTTTTTTCACAAAAAAAAAATAAAATAAAATAAAATAAAATATATATATATATATAAAAATGTGTGTGTGTATTTTTCTTTAATCTAGCATATCCATAACTGGCATAATTTGGAAAATTGTTATCCCTAGATCAATCTGTATTTGCATATATACATATATAGCATGTCACAGGACACTACTGTCAATTTTGTTTGTATATATGCAAATACAGATTGATCTAGGGATAAGAATTTCCCAAATTATGCCAGTTATGGATATGCTGGATTAAAGAAACAGTCTGTGCTGCAACACATTACCTCTCTAACAAGGCAAGAATACAATAAATGTCTCATCAGTTGCACAGTGATCATCACCTGTCAACATCTAAAACTTCATTAAGTGTGACAAAGCACAATTCAGCATTTTTATCTTGACTTGATATCTAGTACAGCAACCCTATGATCTGTGCTCTCCTGCTTCAAGGCCAGAGGCAGAGAGATTTACAGATAATCAGGTGACAACTTCATGACATATGGACAGGAGTAGCTCTGTAAGTGACAGCGCCCCGTAGAAGGGTAAACAAGGCAAACATCTCTCTGTGTCAATAGTGTTTATGGGGTAGGGCCATGGCCACCTGTCCCTCGGACAAACAGCAGGCAGGATTTACAGGCGCACAGGAAGCCGCTTCCTCTGATGGCAGAGAGTGGGAAACGGCAGGGAGAGAAGCAGAGGGTTACATAAGACCAGCGCCGTCTGCGCACAGGACTCCAGGCCAAGAAGAGAGAGCAGCATGTGCTCAAAGAGTAAGAGTAACTCTAATGTATAGGGGAAAAGGGGGAAGTGAATGGGGAATAGAGTGATCAAGGGGGTGCAGGATCAAATGGTGGTTTTTGGTTTGTGGAAATTAGTCAGAACAAAATCTATCCAAATTTGGAGTGGACTGGTAGAAACAGATGTGTGGACACAAAGTTTATTTCCAGGTAACTCTGCAGAATGTGGTGGGCCCCTATTAGGATTCAACACAAAAGCCCCAGACAAACACTCAGCATCTAAGAAGGGCTGTGAAAGAGCTGAGAAACCAGAGGCAAAACCTCTGGCAAATAACACTGGCACAGGATAAGACTCTAAGCATAAGAACTAACTCAAGTTGACAAGCACAGGCTTGAGCTCAGAAACAGAACAAAATACAAACACACACACACACACCCCTCTGGAAATGAATAAGGTAGAGCTGAAGGGATGGCCAGGTTTCAACATAGCTTCAATATAGATCGGCTTTGTGGTAGTTTTCTGCAATTAAATTCTAATTATTATTTTAAACATATAAAAATGTAAAATGGATTAAAACATGATACACCTTCCTGCTGCTGCTTTTTTTCTGACCAGTGTTATTTTAGTATTATTTATATACTATTCTAGTTTTTATTAATATTTTAGCCTTTTTTTTTGTTTTAATTCTCATGTTTTTTTATATTACAATTTAGTTTTTTTAAATTTTATTTTAAATTTCAGTTTATATTAAATATGCAACACATGAGCAATGCATATAATGACATGTTTTGGAGAGAGGAGAGTCTTTGCTACATACCCAGTGGTCTCTGGCAGGGATGAGCTAATGGTGGCGTGATGATTTTTAGATTTCTCGGGGGGCGTTCCAGAGGCGTTCGAAGACTGGGAGGAGACCGACTCATTACTGCCCACTGATGTCTCATCATTAACCAGGGCTGGACTCTCAGAGGATGGAGAGACTGTCAGAGCAAGGGAGCAAGCAGCAAGGAACAGAAAGAATGGTTAAGGGAAAAAAACAAAACAATAATGCACAAAAGACAAAAAGAAAGACAATATAGGAATGAAAAATACAGATACAGATACAGAGAGAGAGAAAGCGAGAGCCAAGTTCAGAACCATTCTTGACATTAATTCACACTATTCATGAATATGTTATGTGAATACTCCATAGAAATGAGCTTGGTAAGTCTGTGTGTGTGCATGTGTCCGGTGGTATACTGTATGTGGTCTGGGAAAACTAAAGACTCCGTATTACTTCATGATCCAATTAGTAAAACATTTTTAGTTATTCTTTTTTTGTCCTCATACTGTCATCATATTAGTTCATCACATTCAAGAGTTTCAAACAAAGTTTTTTCAAGAAAAAATAAAAAAAATAAAAATGAGTTTAAGGATTCAAACTGCACCTTCTTTCAAAATAAATCCTGGTGTGATATTTTGATTATTTTCTCACCCTTTCTCATTCTTAATGCCTTTGTAGAAATTAATTGGCATGTCTTATTTTGAAACAGACAGTTTGTTATTGGTTTTAACACTCTTGTGTAGCAAAGTGACTGCTGCCATATACATTTAAACAAAAACACTACGTGTTAGAGGTAATATAAACACTTATTGTGTTCTAACAACAAAAAAAATACTTCTATCCTGTTCTGTCCTATATCCTAGTATTTTGCCAATATAAATTGTATAAATTATAGTATTTGGCATTAAGGGCGGCCATACTTTTCACCCAAAGTTTCACATATCCTGCACAAAACTCAAATGCACAGAGGTCCTTTAAACCTGAAAATGCTGATTTCATGAATCCATTATAAAGGCACAAATGTACAGTTTTCCACCTTAGTGTGTTTATGTTGGCAGTGGCCACATCCCCTTTCTATAGTAACATCCCAAAGTAGAGAGATCTCTACTAAACAAATAACCAGTGTTTACAATCTTGTGTGGAAAAGTGTGGTTAGTCTGACTCTGAAAACTGCAGCACTTTCAAACCCCACACACTTCTTGGAAAGCTTTGCAACAATGTGCTAATTCACTTTGTGAAAAAAGTTAATACTAATTTGAGTACACATGCACAGCTGCAGAGTAAAAAAAGTAAAAAAAAAACAACAACTCATAACTGTTTAACTGAAAAGTGAAACTTGAGATATGGTCTGCTTTGTTCTGTACAAAAAATAAAAATCATTTGTTCGAAACCAAAGGATAATCCTGCATTGATCCCAGTCTGAAATCATTCCTGTTGGGTGGTGTATCAAACCCAAATAGAAAATTTAACACTGGGAGACACATTTCTAAGCAGTCCAGGGTCACTAAGGCATCAGTTATCCACCTAAATATGGACTGGCAAACTACATCCTATAGCCCAGAGTGACAATGGGTAATCAGCATGTTTCAGCAGAACATCACATCTGATTGCTCAGTGTGCAGTAGTCTTACAGTCATGAACCCTCACTGAGACAAAAGGTCAAACTCCACACGGGAATAAACTGCAAAAGGACTGCATAAGTACTGTACAAATGGTGATTTTACCACTAGGATTATCCAACTGAACATTTACATCTATGAATTGCTGCACGTCTTTAAAGTGGTAGCTTAACAGTTTATATATTATATATTGTATCTTCAGGCTCAGACGGAATCTGCAGACTTTTTTTCCAGTATTTTCTGTAATTTTGGTGCAATACATATGAGAGTCTGTGTGGGTCTGCTTATCTTTATTTTTCCCTATATTATGCAGATGCAGGCTCTATATTATGTATTTGATAGCAGACATATGTGACAACTATAATTCCTTGTGGTGTTTTGCTTCACCTTACTGTGCTTAAAGCCGATTAGTCTCTCGTACCTGTTTGAATATCCAGCACCTGCGGGTTGTATACAGCCAGCGGGCGATTCTGTCGGCTGAGCCTCTTGGACTGTCTGGTTGGTGCAAAGAGGTGTGCAGTTGCTAAGGATGGAGAGCTGCTCGGAGCATGCCCGAATATCTAAAAGAACAAAAAGTTAGTGGGATTTGCTGGCTAGACTGCGTTGTTGTGTGTGTGTGTGTGTGTGTGTGTGTGTGTGTGTGTGTGTGTGTGTGTGTGTGTGTGTATGTAAAACAAAGAGAACAG